AGCTGAGGTCTCCAGCAGTGCAGGAAGGATTAACAACCTGGGGACGGGGAGCGGAAAGAATCAGGAGTCCAGCCTTGCCCCTTCCTGGGGACTCTGGGGGCGAGTTGCAGTGTCTGTGGGTACCTCAGTCTGGCCACTGAGACCAGATGACCACCCCTTTTGGGCCCCTTGGTAAACAGCCTGGGGGGAGACATGTAGTGGGGGGAATTCTCAAGCAGGATGCCCAGCATTCTGCTGGCCCCATACCAAGGGGCATGCTCACAGGGCAGGGCTGTGCTGGTGTCAGGGGGGGTGCCGGGTCTGGGAGCCACCCCCAGGTGGAAGTACTTGCCGGCAGGAGGTCTCGAAGGGTACAGACTCATTGGCTACCAGCTTGGTGTGGGAGCAGATGGTCTCTGGGTACACGGGCCCGCTGTCCACATGGGCATGGTAGTGGCCTCCCTCGCCATACCGCACAACCTGAAGCGGCTCGCTGAGCTCCACGATCTCGGGTGACAGGCGGGTGAGGCGCAGCACCCTGGTGGGCAGCAGGCTTTCAGCTGGGCGGCCCCGTGCCAGGGGTGACACCCTGAAGGAGCTGGCCAGGTGAGCCAAGAGCCCGCCCTGAGTGCTGCCCCTATTTCCCCTGGGAGCTCCTTAAGCCACCCTGGACTGGCCCTGTAAGAGCAGGAAGGGGTGACTCCTGATGAACCAGAGACATCCACTGGCTGGGAAAGGTGAGATTTCCATTAAGCCTGGAAGCAGGGAGGGAGATACTCCCTCCAGGAAGGAGGCTGTTTATCTAAAACCCCTGGCTGCACAGGGGCAGGGGGTCCTGTGGACAGAGTTAAGAGATCATTTCTCTAGTTGGCAGAAAACAAACATTCAATCTAGTGCTAATCACACATGTATCCTGTTTGTCCACCATTAGGGCTAATTTGCCTTTGTTAATTGCCTGTCTCCTGATGAGTTCCAGTCCTGAGCTCTGTTCTCTTGGTCTTAGCCAAGAACCTCTGTGGAGGCCTGTGTGGTCTCCTCCCTGCACCAGGGAGCCAGGCTCGGGTGCTCACCTCTGGCGGATGGCACGCATGACGTGGTGGGCGCCTTCACCCTGGTAGAGCCATGTGTGGTAGCTGTTCCGCACCAGCTGGCTGGACTCCGCCTTGTGGCTCCTCATGTACTTGTGGAAGTCGCGAAGGTCCATGTTGGAGAACTCCTGCAGGCTCAGCACTCCTGCACAGGGCACCCCCCCCATCAATGCCCACCATGCCTGTGTGGGGAGGGCAGAGTGGGGAGGCTGCACCTTCCTACCTACCCCTGGCCTCAGGCACTGGGGGGCCATGTGCACCTGTCCCCCAACCTGGACTCGGGTCAGATGCAGTTGGCTTCTGTCACATCAGGCCCTACAGGAAGACCCAGAGAAGTTTGTGTCCTCAGTTTAAGCCCTGATTTGGCCCCCAAAAGGATGAAGCCCAACCCCTGTCAGATTGGCCAGAGCGGGCTCTCCATAGGAAGCTTAGGCCATATGGCCAAGACCCCACCCAGGTCAAGGACTGCCCTTGGCCCTCCAGCCTGGCTCTGTAGAGCGTGGTGGCCGCCCTCCGGTCCTGCAGAGGGTGAAGAAAGAGAGTGTTCAGTGCTGGGTTTTGTCCCAGGCCTTCCACACTGGAGGATGTAAGCTGGAACCGGTCCCCAGGAGTTCTCTCATGACCTTAGGTCTCATCCTGTGTGGAACACCCCGGGGCCAGTCCTGCCTGCCAGACAGTCTCCCTCAGCAGAGACAACCAGGCCGCTTTCCCCAGTGAGAACACTTTCCTCTGTTCCTGCTTAACCCACCAAGCTGGGCTGTACCTTCTTGGGGTTCTGGAAGAGTGGCTTGGTGTCTTTGCTACGAGTTACGCTGGTTGATCCCAATGAGCACGCTCCCTGTGAGTGTGGCACTAGCTCTGCACACATGGGTGGGAGCAGCCTGCTGCCCCTCCAGGCATGGGTCCGGGCCAGATTCTTCACTCGGGGTTCACCAACCATAAGGTCATCCTTCCAAGTCCTGTTTCCTCAACTGGTGCAGAACTTGGGCATGAAGGAAATGACTACACCTGAGACACTTCCTGGGGGTTATTACCAAAGGGGAGGGTGCTTCCAGGACAGCTCTCCTGCCCACACCCACCCCCGGCAGTTAGAGGACTCCAGGTAGGCAAGAGGTAGGCAAGGGGGACCCTGGTTAGACCAGTCAGCTGGCAGGATAAGCAGATGCCAAGCTGACCTCACTGTTCCTTCACTCCCGCTCCACCGCTCTGCCCTCTACCAGCCAGCAGCCATACCTCCTGAACCCCACATGCTGCCCGATGAGGCCAAGAGGGTGCCCTCTGGACTGCCACCAAGGGGGAGCGGGCGGGTCTAGCTCCTGCCTCTTTCCGGGATAAGGGCATGGCTGGCTCCTCACCTCCTCACCTCCGGCTACTCTAGAAGCTGGACCTAGGGGCCACCTGGCTGGGGGCAGGAGGAGGCTCTGGGACACAACGGTGACAAGATATGAGCTCACCATCCCCGTCAGGGTCAGCCTTGATGGCAGAGTACATCTCCTGAATGTTCTCTGGAGTCATCCACCGTCCATTCCCCAGGCGGTTCTGGGCCAGGACCTATACAGCACAAGACAGTGCCTCAGGGGGCTGGCTCCGGGGATGGAGGGTCACCAGGGCACACACAGCTGCCCTGTCCCTTCTGGAGGGCTGAGGGTTCAGGTGACAGGACGTGGGTGAGGATGAAGTCCAGGGCTCGGGCTCCCAATGCAGACACCTGAGGTCCATGAGCATCCTCAGCCCTGGGGGAGCTGTGGCTCCACCCGGAGCAATGTTGGCTTATTGGAGGCAAAGGGAAGGCCAGGCCGGCATCCCACCCGCACACCCCAGGTGAGGTGGGCGAGGCCAGGGCCTGGTACGAAGAGGGAAGAGGTGCGGTAGGGAGATGACTGCCCACTGGGCCCCTTAGGAAGATCAGGCTCCGGGAGACGCCGTGTATAGGCAAGGGAGCCCACACCCCACCAAGACCTCTCTCAGAAGCCTGGGTGTAAGGGGCATGCAGAGAGGCACACAGACGTCTGGCTTCCTCAAAGCTGCCACCCCATCAACCATGAATCCTGTGGGGCTCCCAGCAATGGTGGCAAGGAAAACAGCGCACATACAGCATGGCACCCCGAGCACTGTGGCAGGAAGTGCCATCGCCCCCAGTAGACGCCCCTGCCGTCCTCCAGGGTTCCCAGGGCAGAGAGCAGCCCTCTGGGAAGGAAGGAGGACCCTGGCCCTGCTCATGCCCAAGGTGAGATGGCATCAGACTCTTGCAGCCAGGGTGGAGCAGCACATGTGACTGGGCCACTGGAAAGACAAGTCGGGGGCGCTCCCATCCTCGGGGTGGGGGGGTTCCTCCAGGCCCCCCACCTCACGCAGCTGCAGGCGGCCGTCGTGGTTCTGATCCAGCAGCTGGAAGAGGTCTAGCGGGCTGATCTGCATTGTGCCCATTGCTTCCTCGTACTCCTCGGTAGGCAGGATCTGGCTGCGCTGCAGCCCCTTCATCTGCGCCAGGTGGATGACGAGCCGGCACTCCTCGTCGCTCAGGAAGCCGGGGATCTCTGCCAGGAGAGGAGGGGGTGAGGCCAAGGGCCTCCCGGTCCGCAGGGTGCTGGGGCTGGGCCCCGTGCCCTGTAGGTCACTCAGCTACGAGGACCTTACACACCTCTTTACATCTGTTCTGGTCGAGTTGTCCTGCAAAGGCTGGCCAGTGTGGGGACCTGGGGGCCTCTGTCTTGGACGCTGAGAATGCAAGTTTTTCAGGGGAGTCCTGGGAAGGGAGCCAGAGCTACACCGGGGGTGGGCCAACCCACCTTGGGGTCGGACCAAAGGCTCCAGGGTGGATCTGAGGGCTGGAGGGCTGACCTCCACTCCTCAAGCAGGGGAGAGGATGTTGGCAGGTTTGTGCTTTCACTGTTGTTTTCCAGCAGTGTTCAAAGTGAATATGTCTGGTGCTCTCAGCCTTGCCACCCCCCACCCCGCCCCACTCTCCTGCACAAGGGGGTGCTGGTCACCCACCCAGTGCTGGGAGCTCAGTGGGAGTCACTCGGGTTTTTGGCAGATGCTCTGAGAAGATGCCCCGGTGTTCTCTGCTTTGGGAACAAACGTGTACTGAATGCCTCCTTCCATGCCTGTAAGCCCGAGTAAAGGCCACGCAGGCCGGGACCCTGGCTCCAGTGTCTAGGTGCCCCCACCCCAGTGGCACAAGCAGCTCAGTGGTGCCTGGATTGCAAACCTCACCCAGCACTTCCAGGCGCTGGAGCCTGGGCCCCGCTTCATTCTCTTGTTCCTGGGCCCTGCTTCATTCTCTTGTTCCTGGGAGAAACACCTTCCTCGGACAGGTCACAAGAGGCCCACCCAGGAACAAACCAGAGAAAGAGCCGGGCCACCACTGCGACCCTGAGAACTCCTGCCACTCCTCTGGCTTTTCTCTCAGCATAAAGTTCCAGTTGTTGCCAAGGGGATGGAAAGCAGCCACTCAGCCAGGATTGGAGCCGTTTTGAATAGTAATCACGGCAGATCACACTCAGGGAGCACAGACTGTTTCCTGTCCTAAGCACGTCATCAACTCTGTAACCTGTATCCTCATCCTAGAAAACCAGGCCCCATGAATTCACCCTTCCTCCTCCAGAGAAGCCCCAAGAACAGAGACATTGGCGACTTGGCCAGGGTGACACAGGCTGCTGTCCTGCAAAACCCAGGCTCACAGCCCGATTCTGCTTCCACGAGTAGGGGACCCAGAGCCAGCGACACCAAGGACAGGATACAAGCCCTTGCCCTTGGCCGGCTTGATCCCCTCAACCTGGCGAACCCGGAAAGGGTGTGAGCCACGCACTGCCAGGCAGCGCTGCGGGACAGTGGGTTAGACCAAACTGCTAATCCAGTCACCTCCCGATGGCTTTAAAACATAAATGAGCAGGAAAAGTAAGCCAGACAAAGAAAACACAAGCCCAGGTTTCTTCAGTTTATTAGGTGCCAGGAATTCACAGGCCCAAAGGAGATGCCTCCCTCTCCAGGCCCTGCCACGTGCTAATCAAATCAAACAGTTCAGGCCAGCACACGGGGCCTAACCAGGTGGGCCTAAGCTCATGGGAGCTGGGCAAACACTGGCTCCTGGGGGGTGGGTATAGCACTATGAAGTTCCCAACCTCAGTCCACCGAGACAGAGGCAGAGAAAGTGGGTGACGGATCGAGGGCTGTGGCTGCCAGTGGCACCAGTGACGCTGTGTGGTGATGGCAGGTCAGGGACTCTCTGGGGCCCTACACAGCGCATGCCCATTCCTCAAGCCATGGTGCTGTGCCAGGGCACTGGCTACACAGAGATGTGGGTACCCAGCTTGCTGGACCAAGACACGGCGGCCGAGGCTGTCCAGCAATCAGTCAGCCGGTTGCCCCTGCTGGTCAGGGGGTGCCATCCTGACACATGCCTCTTCTTGCCTCATCTTTGCCCCACTTTGCCTCGATAGGTGGGGCAGGGGCTTCCAGGTAAGGGTGGGGGGCATCTCCCCAGCGGGGACCAGCTCTGGTAGCTCTTCACTACTCACTGCTGTGTGCCTACCCGTGCCAGGGGCGGACAAGGAGAGGAAGGACTGTTTGGTCAGGGTGTTGCTGGCAGAGAGAAGGAGCAGAGGCCCAGGGGACAGAGGACACATGGGCAGGGGACTATCCCTGGTGAGCACCCTTGGTCTGGACCCACAAATCAAAAAGAGCTCTTGAATGGTGAGGCCGGGCCAGTGAGCGGGCTGCTTTAGGCTGCGGGGCTGACCACCCTCTCCAGGAAGGTGTGCAAACTCTGCCCACAGGATCCTGCCAAGAGACAGAGCCACGGCTCACCTGGTGGCTTTTTCTCTCGCAGAGTCCCGAGACTGCAGGACTGACTCCCCATCCCCAGCCTCACCTATCCTGGGAACAGCAGCCCCCTCAGTTTCTTCTCTGCAGAGCAGGGCCCTGCCTAGAGCCTCAGGGTGCAGCCTCAGCAGCAAGAATGGGCTCTTTCAGAACCTGAGGATGGGGCCCCTCTGCTCTTTGCCAACCCTAGTCCTGGCCGGAAACTGCACGGTCCTGCAGGCCTTTCAGGACGAGAGGGAGGGCCCTGCTTTCTCCCTCCAAGGTGAGGAGTGAAGGCCCAGAGTGCTGGTCCCCCCACCCCCCACACCCCTCTCCCAGGCACTTGGCATCCACTGGAGCTGGAGGTGGGGGTGCACTGGAAAGGTGGAAAGCAGCTTGGGCGAGGGGAGGGGTGAGGCTGGGAGGGCAGATACGGGGCTGAGGGCTACGACTTCAGCAAGCAAAGGAGCAAGGCCAGCTACAGGGCTGTTGCTAAGTTACCAGGGTGTCGTTGCCCAGCAACCATGGAGTGTCTGGCTGGGCCTCCAGCCAGGAGCCCCCAGAGGCCTTAGCCTGGAATCCAGGAACTGGGTCCTGAGTACCCACTGCCCCTGCCCCGCAGGTTCATGTACTCAAGCCGCAGCAAGCTGCATGCCCATCATGGCCTGCCATGGCCACCCCCGGCCAGCCATCCTGCCCTGCGGATGCTTCCCTGCCAGCCACAGCCTCTGTGCCTGCCATTCTCCAACGGCTCCCACCCGAGTCTCTGCATTGCTTCTCTCAGCTGGTCTCACCCTTGCTCGGCTCCAGGGGCTGCAATCCACCCTTTCAAATCACAACTCCCCGGGACCAGGTAAATGGATCTCTCTGGTGGGAAAGAAGGGAGGACAGTGGGAGGAACCTCTGCTGAGGGCTCCCCTCCTCAACCCCTCCCTTAAGTGCCACGTGCCGGCTGCAGGGACTGCGGGTTGCAGGACACCAGCTGGTCCAAGGAGGTCCTTGACAGACTCTACACTAGCAATTTTGGTGAGCCCCCGGTGTCCAGCACCCCTTTCAACCCCTTTCAAGTACGTTCATTATAGCGCCTGGCTGGGTACTAAGACAAAAGAAACAGGGCATGCCCAAATGTTGCGCCTGCTTAAAACCAAGAAGTTGGTTCTCTCTTCCCAAGTACAGGGCATTGCAATCACAACCACATCCAGGAGGACAGGCCTTCTCCAGAACCCTGATCCCAAGAGCAGAGCATCAGACAAGAGGGGGCAGTTCACCAGGTGGAGGGGAGGAGGGAGTATTCAGTGATGCCAGGCTTATCGCCTGGCCCCTCCGATCCCTCCAGCTGTGAAGGTCAGCCTCTCCCGGCGCAGTGGGTGGTCCCCAAGACCCTCAGACTCCCGGCTAGCGGTGCTCCCACCCTGGGGAGCTGGCGCCTGGTCTGTGATGCTGGCTGCGTCTGGATGCCAGATGCTTGCACAGCCTCCTGTGCACAAGGTATGCTGGGACCTAGGTGCAGGATCACCATCAGCCGGTCACCACGGCCTGTGCTTGGAGCAGGGGCCACCACAGTCTATGGCTGGCCATGTGCTGGTGGCAGCATAATCAGTGCCCAGAACAGAGGCAACCCAGGCGGGGAGGGCCTGGGATGTGACAGCTAGAGCCTGTGCAGGGGCCCCGCAAACCATGTGCTCCCCTGGACACACAGACTCCCTCTTGCTGCTGCCCTTCGTGGATATGTGCAGACCAGGGTCCAGAGACACTCCAAGCTTGCCCAGACCAGCAGGAGCAGGGCAGAAGTCCACTTCCGTGGTCATAGTGAGCGGCCCCTTCCTGAACCAGCAGTGTTCTGCCTGGTAAAAGGCAGGCAGCTGCGTGTGCCAGGCAGGCACAACTGGCTTTCTGCATCTCCCAGCCCTCTGATGCCAGCCGGGCTGACCCCTGCTACTGCCACAAGCCCCAGCACCCCACGCTGAGACTGAGGGCAGGCGCGAAGCCCCGGGCGACGCTCACCCAGGCACGATGCTGCTTGTCAAGCCCCAGGTAGACTCAGTTATATCTTCCTGACCTTTACCAAGTCCACAGTTCTGGCCAAGCAACAGGCCTGTGGGACAGCAGAGGCGGGCTGGGGGTGGGGGTGGGGGGTCCATGCAGAAAACTGTGTTAAGCTGCTCACTAACCTGAACTCATATGCACTTACTAAAGTTCTTTCTCTAATTCTGCACTTCCAGTGTCTTGTAAAGAGAACACAGGGGTCTTAAGTAGCTGCTGAATTGTTTTTTTAAGCTGAATAAAGGATATGTCTGGAAATCCTACAATAAAGAGGCCATGGTTTTAAAACGCAGTGCTTCGTGGGCTGCTGTCTATGACTCGTTTACCTCGGATGGTTAAGTGGAGTAAAGCTCTGGTTGGCCCACTGGAAGTGCTCCCTGCTGCTCCTCCCCAGGGTGGGGGCGCCCGCCACTCTGTGCAGAGAGACCGAGGTACCCAGTGAAGCTCCCCAGCTGACCAGTGACTGGCAGCCGCAGACTCTGGCCGCTGGACACACAGCAAATCCAATCAGGCCCCCCATGCGTGTAGCTCACCTTTAGGGGCAGACACAATTAGACCAAGCAGGCTGATGCAACAGAGAGACTGGAAGCCTCTTAAGGCCAGTCTGACGTAGAGAGAGGTCCCTGAGGATGGGGAGGCCTGGGCAGAGGCCTGATGGGGGTGAAGGCATCCTCCATGAGAACCAAGTCTTAGCCTGCCGGTGGTGGGAACAGCGCGTACAAGGGCGCCAAGGCAGCAGTGAGCTCAGAGTCTGAGGATCGACAGACAGTGAGGGAAGGAGCGGTGGCGGGAGATGAGAGGTGAGGGCCTCGTGGAGGATTTTAAGGAAGGGAGCAGATCTGATCTGCTGTTTAAATACAGAATGAGTGAGAGGCGGAGGGAGAAGTAAGCCACATGAGAAAAAGCAGAGAGGTTGATGGTGACTTGGAACTGGAATGCCTCCCTTCAGAATGAACCCAACAGGACAATGGTCTAAAACCTTGGGAAATGCCTACCACAGTCAAGCAGGCATCTGCCAGGAAGTCAGAGTGGGCCTCCCATTTGCCCAATGTCTTCAGGAACAGAGGTGGGAAACAGGAAATGTTCCACAGAGGTGGAGACCCCCTGGGGTAAAACCCAGTCCCCTTGCCCCTGTTTACACCCTGAACAGCTACCCCTTGAGCCCGAGCGTCTTGGGTCCCTGATGGTGGGTCACAGGTGGCAGAAGCCACAGCAGGCCCATTCTCCTTGGGCCCTGCCTGCCTCTTTAGGGCAACAGCAAGTGGATGGACAGACAGGCCCAGAAAACAGACACTGCGCCTTCTTGGGGTGAGGCTTCCTTCTCTGGGTTCATCCAACACTGCGTTCAGGTACCGCCCCTCCTTGGACACCCTCTCCCCTGTAGCTGGCCTGTCTCGCAACTGGACTTCTTATAATCACGGATCACAGATCTCTTCTTCATTCTTCTCGCCTCGTTTCACCAAGCAGAAAGCCCCCAAACGTCCCGGGTAAAATGTGGGGCATCTCTCACCCACACTGAGAGGTAGAGTAGGAGATTGGGAGGACCCGAGGACAAGAAGCAGGAAGGTCTTGCTGCAACTGCCCGATTCTCCTAATCATGCCCTTTGTAATGTGTCTGCAGCATCATTTGACGGCTTAACCAGAATCAGTTTACCTCTGGTCAAATCTCTTCTGCTTCCTGTCATGTACTTTTGGTGACTTCAGGTCTGGGCTTCTTGCTCTCGGCTTTGTAAGACTTGGATGCAACTTTGTTAGGGGGTTAGGGGTTATGTCTCATGGTTCACTTAAACTAACGTATGTCTGAATTAAGCATATATGGGTCCAACAAAGGCAGATGAGAGAAGAAAGCACACCCAGCTCATTGCATCTGTCTCGCGGCAGTGTAGTAGTAATGGGGAGAGCTGTTCTCTTTGCCTGGATCACTTGTTCCTTGACAACTTCACCTCACAGCTCCTGCGGGTCTTTGCTCAAATATCTTTCTCAGGAAGGCCCACCCTGGCCACCATATTCAAGAGTTTCAACCCCAGCTGAAATTCTGCCTTACTTGTCTGTGATCACTTAGCACCATCAGACACACAGCAAGTGTGTTTGTTCAGTCTCACTGGAATGTCAGCTTCAGGTCTTCTTTTTGTTTTCCTATTTTGTCCAATGCTGTGTTCCCAGCAGCTCAACTAGTGCTTTGCACAGACTTGAGCGTTGTACAATAACAATCTTTGAGAGCCCCTCCCACCATAGGACTCACATCCTAACCTACCGCTGCTGCTAAGTCGTGTCAGTCGTGTCCGACTCTGTGCGTGCGACACCATAGACGGCAGCCTACCAGGCTTCCCCGTCCCTGGGATTCTCCAGGCAAGAGTACTGGAGTTGCCATTTCCTTCTCCAGTGCATGAAAGTGAAAAGTGAAAGTGAGGTCGCTCAGTCGTGTCCGACTCTTAGAAACCCCATGGACTGCAGCCTACCAGGTTCCTCCGTCCATGGGATTTTCCAGGCAAGAGTACTGGAGTGGGTCGCCAGTGCCTTCTCCGACATCCTAACCTACTTCCCCTCAAATAGCGTGTGTGTGAAATCATTCTCACAGGTCTAGGGATAATCCCCAACCAGTGCCTTCTGGCCCAGGGGTGACAGCGGTGCTCAGACGCTCTGCTTCGGTCCCCAGGCCCCTCCCGACAGCCCCTTACCCACTCCGTACCCCAGGAGCCAAGAACACCTCCGGTCTGCAGGCAAGTGTATCACTGAGGCTGGGGACCCAGGACAGGGGCTGGGAAAACCTATCCTGGGTAAGGTCATAGGTCCGGGGACTCCCATCTTGTTGATACTACTAGACTCTGAAGGACTTCAGAGTCTTCACAACTAGCACATTGGCTCGACAGTGCAGACACTGAGGGAAGCCTGCCTCGTCTGAATCCCAGCCTCACCTTGGTTTGGCTGTGTGAGTCTGCAAGCAAGCGGGGCTCTCTGTGCCTCACTTTCACCTCCACTAGCCTGACAGTGGGGCCTCCATCCACCTCACAGGGGATGTGACAATCAAGCCAAACGATCACATGAAGTCTAGCACATAACAAGAGCTCAGAAAATGTGAGCTATGGTGCCGGTTCCCAGTGAGGCCACCCTGGAAGGCTCTGCCTACTGTAATGGCCGAACACAAAACGCCATCCTAAGAAGAATCCCAGAGCGCAGAAAGCAAAGGCTGGTTTTGGGGGCACCAGGTTATCCACATTTGGACAGCCTGCTTCTTATCAGACCGGAGGGCCCACTTTGGGAGTGAAATTCCCCCCTCATATCAGCTAGGACCTGGTTATCAGTCTCTCCGACCCTTCCCCCATTCCAGAATGTGACAGAATTAACCACTGCGGAGAGGAGAGCGTCCAAAGACAGTTTCAATGAAAGGTTTATAGGCACTAGCTTCTAGGTCACATGGCCCAGCCCTGTGATGGAAGGATTAGCTGCAGAAAGTAGAAGTCACAGAAGGAAAGGTCACCTTGTCACCCTATTTTGGAGGTGGGGGCGGGTGCCTCACTTGGGGTCAACCTCTGGGTGGAAAAGACAGGGCTACTTTGAAGGAGCCATTTTCAAAACAGAAGTCACGTGGTCAAAGGAGCCTGAAGGCAGCCACCGAATCGCAGCCCCTGGCCCTTCCCGGGGGGCTCCCGGCGAACTTACCGAAGAGCAGCGGCTTGAGGCTGAGGGTTCGGATGAAGTGATCCCTGTCGGCGACCAGCTGGATCTTGCGCTCATGCCCCACCTAAGGGAAAGCGGCACAGCGGGCAGCTAGGAGGAGGAGGAGGGAAGAGGAGCCTGGGCCCGGGTGGCGGCGGCGGGCGAGTGAGGGGGTGCGCGCGGCGGGCCGGGGGCAGCGCACGGAGCAGCGTGGAGCCGCCGGCAAGAGCGCCGGCCGCTTCGGGCTTGGTGGTGCGGGGCCTCACCTTGATGCCCTCCAGCCGGGTGAGGGGAGCCAAAGTGGGCGCGGGCCCGGGGCCCTGGGCGCGGCGCTGGGGCCCGGGGGCGCTGCTGTCGTCGCCGTTGCTGTAGTGTACGAAGAGCAGCAGCGCCAGCACGTTGCCCAGGTACAGGTGCACGAACACCATCAGCACCAGGAAGTAGGCGCGCGAGCAGATGCCGCGGGGCTTGCACAGCGGCCGGACCGGTGCGTCCTCGCGGTCGCCCAGCCCCGCCGCAGCCTCCGCGGGGTCGTGATGCCGTGGCGGCCACTGCGGACTCGCCGCTTGAGGCCGCGGGCCTGCCGCCGCCGGCCGCCCGGAACAACGGCCGCGGAGCCCGCGCGCGCCGCGGTCGCCGGGAGAGGGTGCCTGGGGACGCCGCGCCCGCGCTGCACTCGAGATCTCCCGGCCCTGGACCCCGACCCACACTGAAGTGTCTCTTTCCTGAGGTGGGTTATTATCAGGCAAAGATGCACACTCCCCAGGGCAGAAGCCGCGCCCCCCACAAACGTAGATGCACAGGTACAGGTAACCCCAGTGGCAGTTTTCTCCTTCCCTCTTCCGGGGAAAGTATGGTCTGCATTTTCTCGTTCCCGGAGTGGGGTGGCAACAAGGAGGCTGGGCCAAAATATGACTTAGTACTGCGGCGGGTTGGAGGCCGATGACTGCGCAAGCGAGGTATGGGGCCCATGGCGACACTGACGCTCGCCAGTGCAGGAGGTCAAGAGCACCTTGAAGGTCTACTCTGCGGTAGGTGTGAGCCTCCCAGGGAGGTCTGCAGGAGTCAGGTCTTAGGAAGCAACTGCCTGATGTGCGGGGACCCACAGACCAGGGGACCCGGCCTGGAGCGGCCCCAGAGGGCTTCCTGGAGGAACCCTTGGCACCCCTAACAGTAACCTGCAGGAACGCAGCGGGTGCACAGGCAACACTCCTTGCCTCACCGCTGCCACATTCGAAAAGGGAGAACAGGACTTTTCCGTAAGTGAGTCTTAAACGTCTTGGAAGCAAGTTAAACTCAGCTTATGCCCAAATATGGAGGTGAGAGGACATACCAAAGCTTTTTTTGTGTGTGTGCTCTGCTCCACATCCCGCCCCGCCCCCTCACCGAGATATGCAGACAAGAGCAACGTCATTCACAGGGTCCCCGGTCCCCACAGGTGGTTTCTCCTTACCCTGTTAAGGCTCCCCTCCCCCTTCAGCTTCCTCTCAGAAAAGAAAAGTGTAAAAGAAGTTTCCTGGTCTTCTCAGTGGGGCAGGCCCACCTCCTCTTGAAGATTCTATACACAATGGCAGGTTTCATCAGTGTCCCGTACATGGCTTCATCCAGTCAGTCAAATCACCCTTTTGTCAATCTCCTTAGGATACTAGAGAAACCACTGTCCAAGAAAATAAGTTCTAGATGCCACACGCACTTTTATAATCAGAAACTTTCAGTTTATTTTTAATAAACCACTCAACTTTGAGCAGATGACATTGCCTCAACTTTTTCTTTGAAGAAAACAAAGATATATGGTAAATTTGTGAAAACACTGTGCCTTCCTTTGCAGGGCAGAAACATTCTGCATGAACTTTTCCATGTTCCTGATGAAGTTAGCAAGAGACAGCCACTTGGGGCATGGAAGGAAGTTTTCCACAGGTCAAGGGCTGCAGGCTGCGGTCTGGGCACAGAACCTCTTGCTGCTCTGGTGGCTGGGGGTCACAGCTGACTGCAAGTACACTGTGTGGTAGTTACACAGTCCAAACAAGCACAGGGTGGGATTTAAGGAACAGAGCTGCAATTCCGGTCCTGCTGCTGCCATGGCGGTGACACCCAAGGGACTCAACGGAGAGGTGAACATTCCAGACACTGGGATCTTCCATGTGCCAAAAAAGCAGTCATACCCCACCTCTAGGTGGACACTCTCGTCCTTCGGTTGGCTCAGCGCTTGCCAATTCTGGGTTCGTCTGTTATACTAACTTGTCCTCTCATTCCACCCCATGGTCCCTTCCTTGCAGGAGATGACAGGAAGAGGCAAAACCTGACTGGGGAGAAACAGGGCCTGCAGCCAACCATGTACCCCATGACCCCAAGAGTTACAACTGTCCTCTGTCTTCCAAGAGAGATTCAGTTTGCAACTAACATGGTACCTGGGGGAATTACTGACTGAGGTGAAAATGTTGGAATATCAAAGAATTTCCAACACAATATTTATTCACAGACTTCCAAGCAACTCTTCCAGGAGGTCAAGGACGCCCTGAACAAGAGCCGCAGGAACCCCGGGAATCACAGATGTCACTTCGGAAAGGCCCACAGGACCAGGTTCAGGACAAGTAGGATACCATGCAAACTGCTTGTTCCTTTGCACTGTGAAAAGACTGGCCTTTTTCCTTGGCCAGCCTCCTGGAACAGGAGCAGGGACCACCAATTAGGAACGCCCCACTAGCCTCAGACTCCAGACCCCAGAGGTGGTGCCCTCCAACACTGGAAGCCAGGCGAGGGGGAGCGCACCCCACACCCAGAGCAAGTCATGGAGACAAACACTCCAGGTTAACATGAAAACAATTTGTGCAGACACAGCCCCTGAGCCAGGCAGACCAGAGCCCTAGGGATAGCTCTGCTGAACTCTGACCTTGACATTCACCAGAGGAGAGTGCAGCAGGCCAGCGTCATGTATGGGTGTGTGTGAACCTGGTTGGAGTCCCTCCACGGGAACACTGGCACAAAAGAAGGGGCCGAGGTAAAACAAGTCTTTGGGGGAATCCCTTTAAAAGTGGATCTCTCTCTTCAGGAAACAAAAGAAAACTGTGCTGAACTCACGTCCCCTGTGCTGGAGGGCCACAGCTCATCCATGCGCTCTGCTGTGGGCTCTAGCCTGAGTGGCCAGGCCCTGGTAAAGCTCACTTTCAAGATAAATGAGTCCACAGACACGCAGTGCCATTGGACATGATGATACCCGGGGGCAAGATTCTGTTCTGTATTGTCTCCTAACTGCCAAGGTGAGGCAGTACCCTTGATCACAGAAGGGTCTACAAGGACCAGGCAGGAGGCACGGCGTGATTCTCTGCACACCACGGTGTTACACAGGCCAACCCCATTTCCCACCATCTGCCACCCATGCTCTTTACTTGGGGCTCCAGCTGTGGCCAAAGGCGTGTGAATCTGGAAAGCAAGTACCACCCGGAGCCCTTGTGCAGCAGACATCCTGAGGCAAGGGGGGCGGACAGCGTATGTTACGTTCTAAGTAAAATAGCTAGAGGGTAAAACACTCCAATGCCAGTTTATTTTTAAAAAGGGTTCTGTGTCATTCTATGGTTTGTTTGCCCCCCGGTTTTGTTTTGTTTTTTTTTGTATAATTGTACAGCCTTTGAAAATTACGTAAGTTGTAATGATCTAATACTATTAATAGTCATTCAGAAAAAACTTTCCTTCCCTCCCAGCAACTATCCAGGGGGAACTGACGGTCCTGAGAAGAGGCCAATTCAATGGGGCCTCTACCCTGGTGGAAACAAAAAGCAAAAAGAGGAGGGGGAAAAAAAAACAACAACCAGAAATCAACTAAGAGGTGTGTGGCCAGTGTCTCTCAGGAGTGGGGTCCTGGCTGTTGCCTGGGGTGATGAGAGGCAGGGAGCCTGCAGCGTGCAGCACGGCAGCCGGGAGACCTCGCAGCCACATCGCCCTCAGCCGGCACGCCCGAGTCCCAGCCTAGGTGTCATGGAAGTCCTTCAGCAGCGTTCTCCTCCGCTGCTCCGCTATGTGCATCTGGTTCTCCAAGTCCTGCACCGGGGAAGCAAGACGCGGGCTTGCATGGCCCAGCCCCGCGAGGATGGGCTAGCCGAAGCCGCCCCCTGCCACGGGCTCCCAGGAGTCAAAAGCACGGCCCTCCCCACCCTTCTCAGTGGCAGCCTCCAGCCCCTAGGCCAGCCACCACACCAGCTCTCCCTTGCCTGCCAGGGGGTCCTAGAGGACAGCAGTCACTTACCCCTCTGTCATAGCTGTCCGCCCGCTCCACCTTCCACGACAGGTTTTCAATCTCAGCCTCCAGCTGAGCCTGCTGGTATTCAAACTGTATGGGTAGAGCAGGAAGGTCAAAAGGAGTGGGGACGGTAGCCAGGGCAGGGCCTGCAGACGGGAGGGGCAGAGGCAGCACCTCAGGCTCGCAGGAGCTCCAGACAGCCCGGGTGCTGTCCTCAGAGGGCAGTCCTACTTCCTGCACCCAGAGCCAGAGGCCGGCCCAGAGGTCCTCCTGCGGAGGACAGCCATGTGGCCAGGCTGCACTCGCCCTCCACCCTCAGAGGAAGGGGAAGGACTGAAGCCACAGAGGAGAGTGCTCCCGACATACGGGGAAATGGCCGCTGCAAAAACAAGTCAAAGTGGACATTCACAGACTCTGTGCTCACTGAATACTTTGTTTTTTTCCAGCCCTTCTGAAAATCAAGAGTCTTCAAAATTTTCAAACCATTTGACTTAGTAAGTATACACCTCTTGCACAAAGAGGTTTCCCAAAGTCTTATTTGTGATAGTGTAAAACAGAAAGAATAAACGCCTCAAATGATGGTACGACCATATAATGGGACATCTATGCAACTATTAAAAAATGGCATTTTCCAGCATGGTGAATAATGACAGCTGCAAAAACTGTTGTAACAAAAAATGTCACATATATAACTGTGATTATAGAAACAGTACTAATTTTCAAAGGCTGCAAAATGCTAACAGTGCTCATTTCTTTCTGGGGGGGTCATGGATGATGTAAATGTTTTACTAATTTTTTCAACATTTGAACAATCAGTGTGAATCACCTTATAACTGGGGAGGAAACAACCCCTATCTAAGATGAAAATTACACAAAGATGCAAATGAATGCCACAGTATTTAGGAACACGCATGCTGGGTATCCTCCCAAAACATAAGCACTGGTTCCCAAGTGGTCACGGATATTTTCAGTCAGCCACCCTAAAAAATATAGCTGTTAACGGCTTCAGTACACCTGCCTTCCTATTACATGAAACGGCAGTACCTGAGATCCACTCTGGAAATGCCTAGTCGGGGCCCGGGGATCAAAATTTTTCAGTGGCCAGTTTTGTTTTGATTTTGCCCTCCCAGCCACCAGGGGTCTTGTCCCTGCTCGCCTGCAAGGTGTGGGCAGAGAAGGCCCCTCTGAAGCTAAGAGGGCAGAGCAGAAGGACGGCTTCCCTTACCAGCTTCTTCCTGGGCCCGGACTCCATGTAGTAGGCGTATGGATACGTGTACTGCAGGGTGTATCGACACTGCAACAGAAGACAAGGGATCTGTGTCTATGACTCTTAACTCCATGGACCTCACGTGGCTGATACAGGCCTTACCCCACCATGCAAATCAGCCTGGCTCTACGGGAACTGGCCTGAAAGAGATGAGGCCAAGGCAAATAAAAGATGAACTGCGGGACAACATGGCAAAAACTGAAACAGAAATGGTTACAGAACACCCATGGTTCCTCTCCACACTGGGATTTATTACCAGCAGCTGCCTCAACGGCTCTTCCCTCTTGAGTCGGACCTCAGAGTCCACACATCTATCTCAATACTTGTCCAAAGACAATCTCTTATTTTCCTCTGAGTGATGCATGGATGGGACAAAAGAAGAGAAGGGCTCTCATTTTCCCTGTGGTTCTATCCCCGCAGGCAGAGGCACTGGAATACTGAGTGCCCTGGATATCCGGGGGAGGGCAGGGTCCTCAGTGGACACAGCCCAGAAGATGTGGACCCATGAGCAGGCACATGCGGGACTTCACAGGGGGTGAGCCCTGCCCTCGACAGCACCTCCCACCCTCAGAGTCCTGGGCCTCACAGAGAACTAGGGATGGGAAGACTGAGGGGGACAAACCTTGGCCAAGAGCTTGGCAGCGTTCTGGAGGTACTGCCAGTCGATCCAGGTCCCCAGGTTGTTCATGACCCTCTCCTGGATCTTCTCGTGAATCCGCTGGTATGTCTGTGCCTCCAGCTGCAAGCTCTTGTTGTGGTTTTCCCACTGTGGGGTCAGAGGAGAGAGAAAGCTGCAGGCATGCAGGAAGGTGCAGGGATTCAAAAGCTGTTCAGAATGGTCACAGCCTTGTTTAGCTGATGGGGGCTGTGTGTCCTCGGGAGCGCACGAGGCGGCTTCCTCAGTCCACACTACCAACCCTGTCTAGAGCCCCTATGTACCTGCCAGATCACTCTACCCACTTAGAGCAACAGGACTCTAGCCCTGAGGACAAAGCAAAGCTAGGTACTCCCAGGTCTCTTGTGCTTAGAAACCAAAAGTTCCATGCTCTGTGGGCTTCTGGGGAAAACTGCCTTCTGAATCTGACTATTAAGACAGCAGTGGATTGGGGGATGTGGCAAGATGCAGGCTGGGGGCTGAGAGATACAAACTACTGTGTGTGAAATAAATAAGCTACAAGGATACCCTGAACAGCACAGGGAATGTAACCAGTATTTTATAATAATGATAAATGGAGTATAACCCTTAAAAAATTCTGAATCACTACGTTGTACATCTGCAAGTTACAGAACATTGTAAGCCAGTTACACCTCAATTAAAGACAAACAACAAACGTGGCACTGAATGGATAAAGACCACCTGATGGTCCTTCCTTATCCTTCACAATTCAGCATCACACAGGGTCGGCAGGTCCTTCCCTGTTGGCTGTGCCCGCCCTGGGGAGCCTGAGAGCCGCACCTGGAGGCAGCACTCGGGCCCGGCCGGCGCTCCACGCCCTGACTCCGGTGTGCATGCGCTGCTGCAGCCACCGGTCACTGGGAGTTTTGCCCAGCAGGGCCAAGTGGAAGAAGCCTACCCTCGAGAAGCAGGTGCAGGAGAGGACGCCTACCCTCTCAAAGTAGAACAAGTACTTCTTGAGGGCCTCCCTGGCCTGGGCTTGCTGGCTCTGGTTGACGATGTCGGGGTTCTCCTTGTACCGGCTGCACTCGTAGTACTCGCTGCCGTGGGTCTTCCAGTCTCCTAGACACATCCAGCAGAAGTCTGCAGGGACAGAGAACGCAGCACTGACACACACGACGCAGGCCCACGTTCCTCCACAGGCACAGGCGGCGCGGGAGGCCGGACAGAGCCGGCTCCGGGGATCACCTGGCCCGGACGCTCCCCGGCCACCCCTTTACAGAGGGCGCGGACACGTCCCAGGCCTGTCACGGCCCACGGTCCCCGCAGCCAGTCCTTGCCGATCTGAACGACAGCCTGCAGGTGGTCTCAGTTTCAAGAACGCATACGCTTAGTGCCTTTTTAATCCAACACAGGCAGACGCTGACCGTACAGAGGCCACGGGTCTGCTGTGTCAATGCCTCCACAGCAGCAGAACAACCTGTTCGACTGAGGCCCACCTGGCCATTCAGAAAACACCTCTGCCCTCCTGTTGACCTCTCACTCTCAACACCTGTCCTAGGTGCTGTACATGAAACTGGGGATGAAGACTTCCCCCCCTTTTTCTTCTTTCTTAAAAAGCACATTTTTATGGGAATTCCCCAGTGGTCCAGTGGTCAAGACTCAGTGCCTTTACTGCCAGGGCCCAGGTTCAATCCCTGGTTGGGGAGCTAAGATCCTGCAAGCCAGTGTGACCAAAACAACAACAACAACAACAAACAAACAACAACAAAAAAGAACAGATTTTTATCAAACCCACTGCTACCCAATAGTTCATGCCCAGAATTATGACTATTTCCACACTGAGGAAGCCAAGAGGGAAAAACAGAGATCCCCTATGGATGCTATATATCTGAACAATTACTGTGTGCCTCAATGGACAGGGGCCAACCACGGTTGTGTGTTCTGACTGCCAGAGACCCAGACAGCAGTAATCACTGTTTCCCATGATTCACTCTCATAAGCTGGCTCACTGACTTCCTCGGGGCTTGTGTAAAACTTGGGGAAGCTAGAGCCAAAAGCTAGACCCAGAGGTCGTTCACTTCTCTTCTCCTGGGAGGCTTCACGGAACAGTGCAATACAGCTTTCGCCTCAGTCAGCTAGGTTGTGTTTGCTGTCTTAAATACTGCTACATTGCTTAGGGTTGCCCATCCAGGTGGTAAAACTATTCAGCAACACGAGGGATGGTAGTTAACTCTGGCCAGTAAAGGATGGGGAGAGGACACACCAAGGACTCTGAAATACCAGGCCTGTGGTGGGTACTTGGGTGTGCACTCAGGCATTTCTCTTTAAACTCTTCGCATGCCTTACGCACTGTTCTAAGGGGATTGTGCACGTCCCTCTCATTCAAACACATGCAGAGAAGACAGGGTGGAATTTCACCGAGGAAACACGCCACTACACTTCGGCATCACCGTTCCCTTCTAAAACCTCACCTTGACTACTCTGATTACAGTGTGATCCTGGGAGGACCCAGGGACAGCAGTGGCCAGGCTCTTACAAACAGAAGCTCTCAGGGCCAGCTGGGCGGCATGTCAGCAGCTGTGGAAGAAGTCTATCTGGACATACATTCTACCTGAAGGAGTTTTATCTCTTTACTTGATCTGGCAGGAAGGAAAGCAAAACCAATGGTTCTGTGGAAACTACACCGGCCAGATGAAGGAGGCCAGAAACCCTCTCTGAAAACTTTTATAATACCTGAAAGGCAAACTAGGATTTGACTGCTTCCTGGAGAACCATGGGCAGCCTGCTCTAAATGGTGTCCATCAGACAGCACAGAAAAGCCCCATGCTACTTACCTGCCTTGGCAAAAATCAAAAGAACACACTAAAACGTTCTTCTTGGATGACTGAGGATTTGTGAGGGTGTAAGAGCCATCCCAAAGTTGGCGGCAGGATTATTTAAGGGACCAAGAAATAATAAATCAGCAAATCCAGAGCTGCTGTACTCTGGTCCTCATGACTGTAAGTGACGGAAGCCACCCTGTTTGATCACTGTATCATGAAAGCAGTGGGGGGAAAAAAAAAGCAGTGGAGACCCATGCACAAGAAACAGAGACTGTGCCACTGGGCCTGGTGCACCAAGCTTGGGACTCACCGTGTTTACATTTGGAGCATTGCTGTCGGAGGGAAACAGAAGAGAACATGTTAAGGGCACGCTGACCAAAGGCTTCAGGTCACACAAGCAAAACGTACAGGCCTCTGCTCACCATGTGATTGCAGCCGCCGTTCTTCTCAATGCAGATGTTGCACTTGGGACACTGAGGAGACAGAAGGGCGCCGTTAGGCTCACGCACCAGCAGGCCGGCTCTAAGACAAATTACACAAAGCTCCTGGCACCCGTGCCCAGCAGCTCATCGTGCGAGCACTTCTGGGGAGGAGCCTCTCACTTAAATGTGGCGGGTCGCTGAGGCTGGAACAGCAATTCAAGGAAATGAGGTCAGCAGGTTTGGCCCTGAAACACTCTAGGCTGAGCCCCGCTAAGTCTGCCACCATCTGTCCCTGCCAGGAGGCCGCTCAGATTAAGCTCAAGCTGAGTCAGTAAAAAGCTGGCCACTTGAGAGGAACGGCAGCGCAGCCTACGAGCTGCCACCTGGACTGGGGCCCGCTCAGCCTGCCTGAACTTCGACTTCCAGAAGAGGGCATGGAAATCACCTCCAAAGCTCACTCCCATCTGAGAGACGCCAGCAGCCCCAGACAGAGTGGGGACCAGTCTGACGCCGGGCACTTCACGGACATGAAGAAGGCCTTACTTCATGATGTCATGCTCACAGCTGCGCTGCAGGGCGCCTTGCCTCAGCGTGTGACTGGCACCGGCTAGGGCCCGAGTGCTGAGTCATGCGCAACTCTAGGGGCTGCGGGCCATGCTTTCCCATGGGACGTTTCCAGAATGAGAACTGGGCGGGCCTGGGGTTGCATTAGAGTTTTGCTACTTATTTGATGTGGCTGTCAACCACTTCCCTCCCAGGGCTGTTAACATTGGGGAGGCATTCAGTAAAACCTAGTTTCTATCTAATGAGTCTTCCTGAGGGCCAAACTTCTCCAAGCACTTTAGCATTTCATTAAAAGAAAGGCACCTGGTGCATGCTAAGATAAACTGCTGCAAACTCTGCCGCGCCGGGGCAAGGGTCTGCCACCTCCATCACGAGCCCCACGGCCCTGGGTGGCACTAGGGAGGGCAGACCCATGACAGGTAAGATACAGTCCTTACGTCTTTAGTGTGGGCACTAATGTAGTTGGCTGTTTCAGAGTCGTCTGCACACTTCGTGAGCCATTTCCGGATTGTGGCGCAGTCTGTGGGGGCGTGATACATCTGACGACACTTGAAACTTAAAACCAGAAAAGATAACCATTAGGTCAGATCCTGTGTTTTTCCTTTTCCTTCTGTCCAAGCCAACAGATCTGGAATTAGAGCTTTTCCAAGAGGTAAAAACTCACCTCTCGCGGCGTCCGAGACCTTGACTTACCCAGGATTATTCTGAAGTCCTGGGGGACTTCTCTCAATAAACCCAAATGAGACGTTTGTTTTAAATATCTTAGGTGATGTCAATCCTTCCTAACAGGATATCAAATTCAGAACTCAGATTTTCAAAGGGCTCGGGGGTGTATTCTGAAAAGAGNACCCACACCCACACCGTCCTTGATGAGCACGGAGCAATGCTGCTCCCAGCAGCTGCGGCAGAACTGGTGCTGACAGGCCAGAGAGAGGAGGTTTTCCTTCCGCACGAACTGCATACACACTGCGCAGTGGTGAGGGGAGTGGGCCGGGGGCACCTGCAGGGATTAAGCGATGTGAGCCAGCCTGCAACAAGGGTTGGAACTCAACTGCCAGGTATGGGCTCTGTGAGCGCCAGTTCTGAGTAGAAAAATGTATTATCAGGAAGGCTTCTCGAAGGAGGTGATAGTGGAGCTAGGCTTGGTGAACCCCTGAATTTAGAGAAGCAGAGAGAAGATGGACATGAGCTCTTACAGTAGTTTATAACGTCAGGATTTCGGAGCTGTCAAGGTCCTGAGAGGCCATTCCATCTACCTTCTTCGGGAGGCTACTGGGTTTCTTTTGAAAACGGCCCTCATTCAGCATGACATAGACTTGCTTCTCAACAACTACTATAAACCCAGCCAATAGATTCTTAGGGGCTGAAGTGTGAGCCTCTAATAGCTCCAGAACCCATACTCTGCTACACAAACTGGCAAAGACAGTCTGGGGACACCAGCCAAAACCACAAACCAGTGAAAACCTAACATGAGGTTCTTGTTAGTTCACTGGGAATACCAAAAATAATTTGAGGAAAAGGACCATACTCTGTCTAGTATGCTCCTGGAAATTTTCTAAGAAGCTGCATAAGTTATGTGGTGATCTGAGCCCTAATTCTCCCCCATTCATTTGACAAATGCTGACCGAACTCTTAGCAACAGGAAATTGCTATACACTGTAAGATATGATTCCTAAACTTAAAAAGCACTTACAGTCTACTATGGGAGCTAAAAAGATATGAGTGAATCACTGAAATGTACATGTAAAGGTAAAAGATATAATTAAAGGAGTTTGGAGGGGAGTGTTCCCAGGAGACAGGTTTTGTGAGAGATGGCTTGGATTCGGGTCTTTAAAGGTGAGTTCTATTCTCACGAGCAAAGATGGGGACAGGATCTGGACATTCCCAGCCAAGGGAGGCACCAGCAGGGTTAAAGAGGCATGCAGTGAGTGGGCACCCCAAGAACACAGCAGGAACAGAGAACAGGCTGTATGTAAGTGCAGGAGACAGGTGAGGCTGGAGACGGCGGGCAGTGAGTCACTCCTGGTCTGTGAGGAGAATTTCCAAATGATATCGGAAATGGAAGATTTAGGCCTATACTAGAACAAGTATCTTGGGCGTGCTGCACTATAAACAAAGTAAGATGGTTCTCAATAACTGTGTGAGCCACAGCAAGTCCATCAGGAGGGGACACTCACATGTTTTGATGGACTGGGCTGAACTCGAGCCTCAACGAGCAGCTGAGCAGAATTAGACTTGTATCTACAAAACAAAAAGCATAAAGGGAATCAGAGCTCCAGTTCTGGAGGTATGGTGGTAAATGAGCTGACCTTTTCCTCTGAAGGTAATAAAGCACTATGTCATGATGTATTTATTCCACTTGATGTGTCTGAAAGAAATAACTGGAGATACTGCCAAATGTTATCTAGAAGGGCACTGATTTAACATTAATGATAGCATAAAAACTCTGACCTAACTTCACTGCCCAACAACAGAGGTTTGGAGTAGGCTGGAACATCAATATGGTAAAATACCGTACCTCCATTAAAACTGGGGGTACAGAAAGAATATGCTGAAAACATTGGAAAATGTTCACAACATACTGAGAGAAAAAAGGCTATAAAATATGACCCAGTGTTTTAAAAATACAATCTGTACATTGTAAGGATATTCTCCATAACACAGACAATTATTACCACTGCATGGGCAGGCAGAGAGAAGTTACAGACAATGCCATCTCTTCCTCCCCCAAAATACCTTACCTGTCCAGTATCTCTGCAACTTGCCAGTGGAAATTAACTAATATAAGTTTAGCAACTGAATGAGATACCTAGAAAGAAGAAAAAAAGAAATCTAATTATAATGCAGTTTCTTTTTCCCCAGAGTGCTCTTACATTTTGAGAAATGCATACATTCCTCTCTACTGCAGGTCCAGGCTTGATTTTTAAAATCTTCCTCTTGGTTCTGTTTTATCTTTTATGTTCAGACTCTTAAGCAATTTCCTGGATCTCTCGATTTTTCAAACTTTGTTTTCATTAGCAACCCTTCAAAGAAATTAGTTTGATTTCAAACTTACACAAAACCATCCTATCTACAGTAAGTAAGGACCTAGAATCCAAAGTAAGCAAAAGAGCTATAGGTTCCCTAATGTGATTTATGTTTGCTGAAGCTGCCGTAGGAGGCCGTACACGAGCACCTCCAGTTAGGTGTGTTACTTGCAGAAGCTCTCCAGGCTTGGACTTTTTATATAAACTCAGAAAAACAAAACAAAGCAAAAAACACCCCTGGTTAAAACCTCTGACTCTATAACAAAACTATTCATCCACAAAGACCACTATCACAGAATGAAAACAGAGACAAAGCATTTGGTATAAGTGTTAAAATTTGCTTGAGAATAGCTTTTGGATACAAATATATTTTTATAACTTGAAAATTATATTCTTTTATTCTATTTATTTATTTTTGGCTGCAGTGCGCCGCTTGTGGGAGCTTATTTCCCTACAGTGGAAAAGTGGGGTCCCAACCAATGGACCGCCAGGGAATTCCCAAAATGAAATTTCTTGGCCTTCCCAAAGAAAGAGAACTTCAACAGCATACCTGGTCTGATCCCTTGATCTCAACAGCACTAGCAACAGCAACAAAGCCTCAATTAGCATACCAGGTGCAGCCCCTCCACGTATGGAAAATGACACAGGCCTCCGCTGAAACTGAGCATTTTACTGTGACAAGTCCACTATGACCAGCTCAACATTCCAGCAGAGTTCTGGTGAGAACTGATAATGTGAAGAGAGGACGTGTCTCAGTTCAGTTCCGTCGCTCAGTCTTGCCCGACTCTTTGCAACCCCGTGGACTGCAGCACACCAGGCTTCCCTGTCCATCACCAACTCCTGGAGCTTACTCAAACTCATGTCCATCGAGTCAGTGATGTGTCCAGCACTTTATAAAACTGAATAGATGTCCATCTATTCTTTCAAAGCCAACTGCTGAGGATGTATCAATATATACAACGCTGTAGGCACAGGCACCGCCCACCAGTCTTCTACAGGAGGCACTGTGATTGCCCACAGTGTATCACAGACTGTCAAGGACTCAGTTTCCCCCAATTAATCCATTATGAATGTGACGGAATTTTGAGACCATTAATTAAAGCAAAATGTAGAATGATGGCACCTTGCCCAGTAATGGACACCAAGAAGATCTACAGGGAAGTCAGGATACAAAGGGCCCTCTGAGCAAAAAGCAGCACAGGGTTAAGGAAGAGTACCTAGAAGAATTTAGGCTAACAGGTAGTCTCCGAAGAGAGGCCACCTCCTCCCTGATTTGGGTCATGAGAGAACTGACTTCACCACCCACTGTCACCCGCAGCAGTCTCCCAGAGGAAGAGATGTCAGGTGATGTGTGGGGGAGGGGGGCACTACTTAAGTTACCTTTAGCAAGAGGGCCAAGACAAATATATGATATTAAAACATTACAGATAAAAATCTGTCATTCTCAGAGTGCAGACAGCTGAGCTCAGGAAAGAACTAGCCAAGTATTCACACCATTTTACTGTGTAATGCTCAAAGAGCTTGGCAATCCGTTCTGAATCTACTAAAGTTGACACTTGGTAACTGAGGAAAGTCTTCCACTCTTTTTATGTGTTCAACTGTGGAAAACAAGAGTCTTCCAGCAGAACCAAGACAAACTATTGCTGGACTGTTTTGATCAAGCAACTAATAACCTGTGAGTGGTTAGGATTATGTATTACCAAGAAGGACTTAAAAGTATCTATGTATGTACCTATGTATGCATTATCAAGTAGGTCCTAGAGCATTCATTCATTCATTCATTCATTTTTGGCTGTGCCACAAAGCTGTGAGATCTCAGTTCATGGTGGTGAAAGCCCAGAATTCTAACCACTAGGCCACCAGGGAAACCCCCCAAGAAGAACCTATAATGAGGTCAAACCTCTTCCAAAAAGGGTGATAAACAACCACTGATAACCAAAATAGACTTAATGATTTGGGAAGGACACATGACCATGTCACATTCAAGACAAATTTGCGGTTCTATAAGATCAACATGTAATAAGAAAATTAAAAGTCTTATTTATGTATGAGGCTTTTTTCTATTTCTGAATACACTTTCAGAAAGGAGAGCAGGAAAGAATACCTCTTTCAAATTCACTTTATGAAGCTAACACAACTCTGATAAAAGGCTGATTTAACATGTGAAAACGCCTAAAGCAATTCACTGAATTAACAAAGTAAAAGTAGAAAAAAACCCAAATGATCATTTCAATAGACACAAGAAAACTCATTTGACAAAATTGAGGAATCACTCAAGGTAAAAATTCTTAGCAAATTAGGAAGAAAAATAGAACTGCCTAAATCTAATACAGGGTATTTAAGGAAAACATTATACTCTATAACAACACAGTGAATGCTAAGATCAGGGACATGACAGGGAAGACCACTCATCATTTCATTTAACACTGTACTGAAGGCCCTAATGAAGCATGGGGGAGAGAAAAAAACGACACAAAAAGAAACAAAACTACCAGTAGAACTAATAAGTTTAGTAAGGTTAAAAAAATAGAATGCCAATATATAAAAATCACAAATGTGTTTCTACAGTGGCAAATAAAAATTAAATTCTGTTGATAAATATATTTTATTTAACTGAATATATCTAAAATATTTCAATGTTAATGCATTGAAAATTATTAATGAACTACATTTTACATCTTTTTTCATCTAATTGTTCAAAGTCCATTGTATTCATAATTACAGCACATCCCAATCCAAACTGGCCACATTTCAAATGCTCACTGGCGACATGTGATCACAGCCACCATAACGCAGCTCGAGACAGAACACCAAAGCAGGGGGTTAGGGTATAATCAACAGTCGACCCTAAAATGTTGGAGAGAACCCCGAATATCCAGAGCAACCTTGACAGAGCAAAGCTGGAAGAGACTTACACCATCTGACTTCAAGACTTACTAATAAGCTACAGTAATCAAGACAGTGGGTACTGGCATAAGGACAGACATATATACAGATCAATGTAACAGAATAGTAAACTCATACACTTATGACTAATTTTCTACTAAGGTACCAATGTAATTCAACAGATAAACCAGTCTTTTCAACAAATGGTTCCAGAATAACTGAACATCACTATACAAAATACAGAACTTAAATGCTTAGTTCATGTCACACAAAAATTACCTCAAGATAGTTCACAGTGTTAAATGAAACTCAAAACTATAAAACTTTCAGAAGAAAATCTTTGCAATCTTGGTTTTTTTAGGTAAAGATTTCTTAGATATGACACTGAAAGCACAACCCTTAAAAGAAAAATGTGATATACTGGTGTTCATCAAAATTGAATTTCATTCTTCAAAAGACATTATTAAGAAAATGGAAGAGACGAGCCACAAAATATATGATTTGCAAGAGAAAAAATAATTGCAAATCATATATCTGATAAAGAACTTAATTCAGAACATATAAAGAACTCACACAACTCAAAAAGTTCAACATTATTTGTCATTAGGGGAATGCAAATTAGAACTGCAAGATACTACTTCACACTCACTAGAATGATACAGAAGACTGACAATACCTAAGTGCTAGCAAGCAGGTGGAGAACCTGTAACACTTATATAATGCTGGTGGGAATGTAAAATAGCAGAGTCTCCTCAGAAAACAGTTTGGCAGTTTCTTAAAATGTTAAACGCAATTCCACTGCTAGATATCTACCCAAGAGAAATGAAGACAGGTCCCTGCAAAGCCCGTTATACAAACCATCACAGCAGCATATTTCACGCGGAGCTGGAACCAACCCAGATGCTCATCGACTGACAGTGAACGAGCGAAGTGTGGTGTATATCCATACAGTGGAAAATCCTCACTGGGCAGTAGGAGGAAGCATTTCTGACATGTGATACAACATGGATGCACCCTGAAAACATGTCAAGTGAAAGGAGCCGGACACAAAAGACTACATACTATAAGATTCAATTCATATGAAATTTCTAGGAAAGGCAAATCTATGCAGACAGTAAGATGATCAGTAGTTTCCTGGGACTGGGAGTGGGGACTAACTACAAACGGATATAAGGGAATGTTTTGGCTGATGAAAATGTTCTATAACTTGTGGTGATGGCTATATATTTGTTTACATTTACTACAGCTCTTCTACTGGTACACTCTAAAATGGATGAGTTTAATGGTATGTAAGTAATACTTCAATAAATGCTAAAAATAAAATTGATCAATGGACAGATACATGATAAAGTAAATGAACGAAAAAGGTAGCACCTGTATAATCTAGATAGTAGACAAATGGATATCTACAATTCTTTAAAAGTCTTTGTATATTTTAAATCTTTCATGAAGTTGGAGGGAAAGTTTGCCAACTTTAATTCAACGGCCATCTTCTGAATAAACAAATGTCACAAGAAACAGAGGGTTGACCCTTACACCATTGCATCAGAATAGTTCATTTTGATCTTTTATGTACTCCTCAGAATGAAAACATCCCCTTCAGAGTTCTAACATACATAGTTCTGACCAAAGATGAACAGACTAGACAATGTGAATTTTAGCATAAGTAGGTCTGTAATGCCAGTAACTTCACAACACTCCGGCTCCCTCTAAACCTCCCACACCAAGCCCTCAAGGCAGGGAGGGCAAGTAGTGGTATACAGTTCATCAAACACTGGAGGGTCCTGAAGTCCCTGGGTGGTCCGGAGAAGGCTTTCAGAGTCACAGATGGAGTCAGAACATGGTCAAGGAGAGCCCATCTTCCTTGCCCTTCCCTCTCATTCCCTCTGCCTTCAAA